TSAAYGWKTTYWWATYTAWAAAAAARAAAAATAWMAAWAAAAAAAAAAAARAACAGAAAARRAAAAAATCTAGTATACTATAATAAATAATATTTGCCACTAATAATTAATTATATTTAGGGGTAAGTTTAATAAGAAATTGATATATATATATATATATAAAGGTGTTTTCTAAGATTTTTCCAGAGAAAAGGTGTCAGTGTATTCTATGCATGAAAATAAAAAAATTTCTGCATAAAATGCACCGATACCATTTAATCAGAGAGATCTCAGACACCCAACTTATGTACACACACATATATAATAAATATATATATATATATATATCATATTTCAATTATGCGTTATATGCAAACAGTTTTTAGAAATTAGTGTAAACGTAAATTCTTTTTTAAAAGATATAATCACCGTTTCATATGATTATATATATATATATATATATAAGCCTTAATCATATAAATATATATATATATATATTAGAATGGTTGTACAATTTACATTATATTATTATATGCGCAATAATTAAAACATTATATTATTCTCTGATTAGTATTAAAGGAGATATTCTTCTTCATTCTTTGTCAAATACTATTGTGTGTGTGTGTGTGTGTGTTCTTTTTTTTCTTTAATTTTATTATTTCAATATACCAACACATTTTTTGTTGTTGCGATATTATCATCAATCTTTTTTTTTTTTAATATTCCCAAAAACTTGTGCATTTTGTACATAGGATTTTGATCAGGACAATAATATAGAATTTTCTTCTTTACATTTAAATCACGCGTACATGTGTGTGTGTGTGTGTGAGAGAACATAATATGACATCTGTGAAATTAAAGTATAAAGATGTTAGTTAATTAATTAATGGATTGTCATTTAAAAAAAAAAAGCACATTTTCTATTTTGTTCTTTTTTTTTTTTTTTTGCTAATTATTTTCTTCTCTCTTCTAATATTCATATATTATTTTATACAAATTGTATTGCTTTTACCAATATGTACACTAATAAATTAATAATAATGTAAATTACACAATAAAGGAATTTTTTTAATATTATCTGAATGTGATGAAAGATTTAAAAAACAAAAAAACAAAAAAACAAACAAACAAACAAATATTTACATTAATTATTATTTATATAATGAAATTTCATATAAAAACACAGAGGAGACGAAGAAATGAAATATTTTACAACGACAAGAAAAAATGGACACATGATTGATGACAATGGACACATTATTATCTTTTGAAGTAAAAAAAAAGCATGACTATTTATTCAAATTTTCTGAATTAATAAATTCATTCGTTATTCCATCATCTTCTATCTCAAATATTGTTATTTCTTCGGATATAGTTGATCTTATTTGAATTTTATCATCGTCAATAACTTGCATTTCAAGATAATTATTTGTATTTTTAATATGTTTATCTACTGATGAATTATGAATCTTGGTATGTTTCATCATATCTCCTTTTTGAGCAAATGCTCGACCACATATTGGACAAGGATAAGGACGTTCTCCAGTATGAGTTCTTTTATGTACAATTAATGATTGCAAACGTTTAAATTTTCTATCACAATATGGACATTTGTGTGGATAATCGTTGGTATGAAGAGCCAAATAGTGTTGTTTCATTATTGCTTCTGTTCGAAAACCTTTTCCACATTCAGGACAAGTAAATGGTCTTTCACCGGTATGAAGAAATTGATGTACCTTTAATTGACTTCCCGTAGTAAAACATTTTCCACAAATTGTACATACGTAAGCTTTCTTTTCACCATTGTGCTTTGCAAGATGATATTTCAACATAAGAAGAGATTTCACTTTTTTCCTACAAATACTACATCTGATACCTTCTTTGATCAAACGTGGTTCTCCATTTTCAATAACAAAATGCGTTTTCCTATGTTGTCCCATATTACCACGTCTATTATAACTTGCTCCACATATGTCACAAACGTATGGTCGCGTTCCAGAATGCGAACACATATGTTGTTTTAATAAAGATTTAACGCGAAAACTTTTAGGACAATGTGCACAATAAAATTTGTTTTCTTCTTTATGCGTTTCATTATGTCTATGCAATTCTAATTTGCTATGACATAATTCATTACACGTCTTGCAATTATAGGTTATGCTAGTATTTTTCTTAACAATATTATCGTTATTAACGATATCATGCATATCGTTCGATACATTATCGATATTTATTTCATCTAATTTATCATCATCTAATGTATTTGTTCGTTCAGGGATATTTCTTAAAGGTAAATTGTATGAATGCCTACAAAAATATTATCATTTAATATAATACGAATTAAAAACACACAAATGAGATTAATTTTGTAATAATAATAAGTAATCGAAAAATATTACTCTGTATAATGTGTAGAATTATTTCTATCATCTTTATCATCTTTACCATCATCAGATTCATTTTTATGTGCTGAAGGAGTATAAGTATAATAATTAGTTTTTTCTATATTTTGATAATTGTCATCATCTAAATGAACATTATCATCACATATCGATTCTGTTGCTGAAAACTAAAAGTTAATATTAAATTAGAATATTTTTCAAGAAATTAAAATAATAATAATAATCATATTTTGTACAAATTATTATTACCAACGATCTTTCAGATAATGTGGCTAAAAGTAAATTATCTTCTTCAGTTTCTACATCTTGTCGTTCATTTTTATGCATTAACAACTTCGAATTTGCATCAAGAAATTGTTGAATAAAATCATAGCATAATTTAACTTTATGTATACATAAATGACAAATCTCTTGAGGTAAACCATCATATTTATGTACTTCTAACTGAAAAGAAAATTTCATTCAAAAGTAAGTAATGATTAATAAATAGAATTTGATGAACGAATGATCTCATTCATTCGCTTACTTGAAGTGGTAAAATTGTATTAATTTTTTTATCCATATCGTTATCATAAATAGAATGAAGCATATTATTTGACGTAGGCAATGCACAGAGACGACACAATTCTTCTACATCCTTTTGCAAAGTATCATCACGATGTGATTCTGCAACTGTAGTTATTATAGTACTATCTTTGTCGTTATTCACTATGTCATTTATCTATAATACATAAATAATATGAAATTAAACAGATATATTCTTTGTAGTATTTCAAAAGATTTCTTTTTACATACCGGTTTGACAGAACATACAGATTTTTTATCTTTCACTGACAGATGTCTATTTGATTGCTTATTTTCTTCTTCTACATTATATGTGATGTAATCCTTTAATTCTTCTACAATGCTTTTACTTTTGGTAATATTTGTATCAATTGTAGCATTGGTTTGCCTTGATATACATTCTTTCAAATTATTTTTAAATATTGTAGGTATAGGTATTTTATTTTTAATAAATGCAGTCTTACGTTTGGGATCAATGAACCAGTGATCCTCAAAATGTTCAGCACAGAGTACATAACGTTTAATAGAAGTCTTACTTTTGAGCATTAATTCTGGTATACCACATGCTTCTGCCCAAATTCGAGCACTATTTAATATATTAATAATTAATAATAAAATAATTTATTATATAAGTAAGAATAAAATAAGAATGAAGTTACATATTATTATATTAATAGGTTAGGTTATTAAATATAAGCTTACTGTTCTTGATTAGTAGGAAATGTGAAGAAATGTATTTGTGGTGAATCTCGTGTACTATTAAAACACATTTTGGAGGCACATCTTTTTTCTACCATTTTTAACAACTAAGATAAATAAAATGTAAAATATAAATCAACAATATTTACTTGCTTTTTTGATATCTTATAAAAGTTTGTTTATCTTATTATTTATCAATTGAGTTCATATTACATATTTCTTGTAATAATTCAAATAATTGTTAATAATTTATATTAATTTATAATATATTGTAAATATATACACACTTCTTACTAATATCACAAATAATCTGTTCGATACTTAATTAGATTTAATTGTCATCATTAATAGAATCTTGCATTTAATAAAAATGATATTATTAAAATTATTTTTTATTATAACATAAAATAACACTTATACACTATAATTTTTTAAAATATAGATAAAATATTTATTTAACACATAAGGAACAAGCCTCTGATACTCTTGTTAAGACTTGTAACTAATTTTAGTTTAGTCTAGTACCAAGTAGGTGACGCAGTGCTAGATTTACAACTTGGTTCTTTATATTTTTCCTTTTTCCTTCTGCTTTATATTGCATGATTAGCTTAAATTATTTAAATTTTCAATTATATTACATTTATTTAAACAATTTATGATATACGTAAAGTATAAATAAATGTTTTCTATACTCGTACATTTTATTTTGTAATCTCTTATGTTTTTAAAATTCGCGCGAATGTATTGGCAATTTATACGTTCGCTGATTGGTCGAAAGCTAATATCATTGTGCGAATGAGAGCGGCGGGAATCGTTAGATGTTCAACTTTTTCGAATGAGGTGCCATAGTGGATTTTCGGATTGTACCAAGTTAACACGAAATCTTTGTCGTCTCGTTATTACAAGTATTTAGTCCATTTTTTTCTAATGTACACATCTTTTTTACATATCTAACGATTCCTTACAATATGTTTTCTAATATGCAGTATTCGCAAGTCAAAGTATTATCGGGTTAAACAAATATTCGTGAAAACAAAATTCAGCGTTTAGGTGTCCTCTCGAAAGTTATAATGTAATATTATTTATTCAAATTTTTAATATATTTATATATATTTATATATATGTTTAAACGTAAAATAATTCTTAATATATGTTAATTAAAAATCATTTTAATTTCATATTTTATTTCAGGTAAATCTTCAAATTGAAGTTGTCGAGCGCCATCATTAAAATCGAATGTTCGATATTCTTGCAATTATCGAATATATCGAAATCTATCGAAACGGCGTTCGTATTCCGACAAGTGAAAGACATCGAAATTCTCTCTTCCCTGTAAGTAAGATTTTAAATAATTATTAACAATTATTTGAAACAAAATATAATATACGCATGATATAAATAAATCATATTTTTATATGTAAGTGTTTTTAAAACGAAACATTAAAAAATACGAAAGATATTCGTGAAAATAAAATCATCGGAATCTCGGCTTCGCGCCAAATTCCACAGTTTGTTAATTAACAATATCTTTTTTAATTTTCTAGTTTATTTTCACGATATCGATATTATTAACCATTATTAATGACTAATAATTTATTTTTCGTAATATAATGTCTTTTTATAGATCGTATTTTGTATTAAATTTCACAGTTATCACCTACGCACACATACACGTATATATACATAAGTATAGGTAACTCGTACACATACACTCATATATTTGATTTTCTTTATAATGTACTAATGTAATCTTGCTTTTTATTTTTTTTAGATTTCCGAGCATTGTCCAATGCGTTCGAGTCCAACACTAATACATATACTCAGTTAAATAACTGTGTTTAATTTTTTTTCATCGCAAATTTATCGAGGTAAGCGTTATTTTATTTTCAAGTCTATCTGACATATAGAAATACTGCAGAAAGAGTGAGAAAGAAAGAGAGAGAGAGAGAGAGAGAGAGATATGTATAAAAGTTCTATGTATATTTCTAGGACTATCTCGAGCGAAGGTGAAAACAAAACAACAGCCGAACTCTCGACACTCTCAAGGATAAACAGTAACGTCGATCTCATTCCCCTTCCGTCCTTCGACACGTAAAGATCGGCCAAAGTAACTATGTATTGAATTATTTAATAATTTTATTTCTAACGTTAACGCGTGTCCATATTTTTAGTACATTTCACATATATTTGATAACTTTTTACTTTTAATTAAATCAATCCTCATAGATAATTAAATTATTTCTTTATATTTATCATTGAATATTTTATGAAAAATATTCAATTGTTTTAATGTGTGCTCTGCCTTCAGAAATGATTGACAGGAAATATTGTAATATAATCTTTAGTATGTTTCAGCTTTTTAGACTTTTTATTTAATTTTATTTTATACATCGTCATCCTAAGGGTAGGATACCCATCCTRCWDTCATCAACGAAGACTAAAAGTAAGTATATTTTACTATCAAACATTTCTATGATAATATCAATGGGTTTTTATTACGACAATGACATTAATTGTTCTTTTTCTTTTTCTATTTCAGAACATTGCAATCGTGCGTGTAGGCAATGARRTACTCGTGTGTTGYATCGTGTTAAAATAAAATATRAAAAAGYCGACAAGTAGATTCAGTGTTGATCGTCGCATGTTAAAGTTTYGTTTGCTCGGTTAAGAAACTCGCAAGTTTCTTTTATTYGGTTTAAAAGTGTGYTCATCGTCATCCTAAGGGTAGGAKACCCATCGTGCATTCGTCGATAGTGATTTAAAGTGAGTATATTTTTTGTATTMAATAATACCTCAAMAATTTKAATGCTTTTCTGTAATAGTAATGATATTAATWGTAKTGTTTTKTATTTCTGTTTCAGATTGCAATCGTGCGCGAAGCAATTGCATTACTACGGGTCGGTGTCTTAGACCGAATGGCCCATGTGAAGTGACCGGGAGTGAAGTGTTTGTTCTTGCATTTGACTGCGTGCAATGCAGTCTTTGAATTAGTTGTAGAATCAGTGATCGGGCGAGTAATAAGTTAAAATCAAACGCGAATTATAGAATCAGTGTTGTTCGTCGTATAATGAAATTTCGGTTTCGCGATAAGAAACTCATCTATAGTTTCTTATTTTCGTTTATACCGCGTTTTTAGATTCACGCGAGGTGCATCACCATGGTGCAATAGAGCTGCATCTCATTGGAATGCATTGTAAGTATTCATTTGTATTAACATTTTATTCGATTTTATTTTATATGATTTTTGATAATATTC